TGAAAAGAACCGCCTTATTTCTCCATCCTGTGCACTGAAAGATGCAGGGATTTTTTGTAGTAAGCCATAGGTAACTGTATTAGTGCATGAGAGCACACACATACCTTTACCTACATTCATTTGGATGCAGCATATACCTCTCTATATAGGCACACATATGTGTAAATGTAATATGAACACCAGTCAATTCATTGAAACCAAAACCACTGCTCTGTATATATCTACAATATTATTAAAAATAATGTATTAATAAATACATGTTCTTGACAGATGAATTTAGGAACCATCAATTAAGCTTGGCATTCATTAAGTGGGGAGAAGTCCAATCAGATTGCACTGACTCAACAAAGCTGCCTATAAATTGTGGGCTTTTTGTTCTGATGTTTGATGAATTATTCTTCATAATCCACTGTCTACTGCAATAAATCTAATCTTTCAGTTTTTGCTGTCTTAATAATTCTCAGAGCAACACTGTGACATTTTGTTTCCATAGAGGGGCTAGAAAGGCTGGAACAATGGAAAAAAACCCTCACTTGCTGTCTGGGAAGTATATTGCTCTACAACAAAGTAACATTTTTCTCACACTTAGAGCTTTGGTTTTGCAGACTTGCAGGGATCAATGAGCCCCTGGCAACATGAGCCATTATGTGTATCTTGTTGAAAAGATGACCAGCCTAGGATGAGGTTCATGTTCCTTAAACCAGGAAGGGCATTCAATTTGAGGGCAATAGTGTGCTAGCGTTCATAAAGTGAATTCCAAAAGTCCTGATGCCTTCTGCTATTAACAATCCTGCATCTCACTGCTTCCTGAATTTGTCTTGAACAAACTGCTGACACATGGCCAACATTCATCACAGTGACAGAGCAGAGCCACCACATTTCATGTAGAATGCTGTTACATAATGTTGGGCTGGGGAAGGGCTCCATGACTTAGGCTCCTGCTCCAGAGTACCGTGCTAGCAGCCTTTCTGGAGAGGGAATAGAACATGCCTCTCTGTGAAGTGGGCAAGTTGAAACCAGGCAGTAATACTCCATCATTTGATGCAAAACATGGATATAAAAATGTTGGGATTAAGAGGCAATATATTTCAAAGGAAATTAGCTAGCAAGACATGCACATTTAACTTTTATGGTTTAGAGATTAAGATATCAAGCTGGA